GCATTCTTATGGCTGATATATCTGCAAATTCATGCCCATGTCAATATGTTGTGCTACATTAATCTATTGAATTGCTTTCTGGACTCTTTTTGAAACTGACAGTATGCTTTTACATGCAGCGACTATCTTTTCAAGCTTTTGCTTATTGGAGATTCTGGTGTTGGCAAATCATGTCTCCTCTTGAGATTTGCTGTAAGTTTATTGTAGAATTTTACGACCATTGTTCTTCTCATTCATCTGAAGATCTTTTCCGTTTGTGCCTCTGTATTAGTTTCTTGCTGGTGCAACTTTTTTCCTTGGACATGAAAAGTACTTTTCCTTTGTATTTGCTTTCTTTTTCTCTTCCTTTTTTGCCCGGGGTGAGGTGAGGGGTTGAGTAGATGCTACTTGCGCAATTTAGTGAGTTTTGCAAAAATGTAACCTTTCCCTGCTGGTTATTCCTCTTCCTCTCTCCTCCCCCCTCCTCTCAAATTAACATCCACACGCACAGATGTCTCATGTCTGTGTTTAAATTGCCCTCTTTATGGGTGGTGGAAGTTCAACTTATGTAGGGTGAAGTAACACTTTTGTTTACTGTTTGAGTTTGTCATTTATGTAGTTCGTTTGCTTTTAAGACTGCCCCTCAAATAAAATTATAAAGTTTAACAATCTTTATGGAAGCAAGTAGGCTTTTTCTTATCGTTGTATTTTCTCTCTGGTTTCAGGATGATTCATATCTTGAGAGTTACATTAGTACCATTGGTGTTGACTTTGTAAGTGAATCTTTCCATTCTGTGTTATGTCATATCTACTGATGGTTCTGCAGTATATTAGTAACAATTGTCTTCTCTTTTCTTCTAGAAAATCCGCACAGTTGAGCAGGATGGGAAAACCATTAAACTTCAAATTGTAAGAATCTAATTCTCCGTAGACCATTCATGTGCTGAAAACAATAGAAGTTTGCCTTCACCACGTAGTCCAATGTTTGTTTGGTTATTTATTTATAATAACCAAAAAGGAAAAAAACAACGAACCACACTCCCTAATTTCCCCTCTTATATGTGCAGTGGGATACTGCTGGTCAAGAACGTTTTAGGACAATTACCAGCAGCTACTATCGCGGTGCTCACGGCATAATTGTAAGTCATGCAATTCCTCATATCATTCTCCAATATTGTATCCCATTTGTCAGGAGGTCTTACTTTGATGGCATCTTTGTCAGGTTGTCTATGATGTAACCGATCAAGAGAGTTTCAATAATGTCAAGCAATGGTTGAGTGAAATTGATCGATATGCAAGTGATAATGTGAACAAACTTCTTGTCGGAAATAAGTGCGATCTCACAGCGCAGAAGGTAGTTTCCACAGAGATAGCTCAGGTAATCAACCTGCCCCACACTCCATTTTTAGACTCCTTGATGTAATTATGCCCCCCGCCATTAGTTACATGTATAGTGCGTTCGAAGATGCCTCTATTTTGTTAAGTTGTATATCGTAGTTGATGTCAACCTTCTGTTGTAGGCTTTTGCTGATGAGATCGGCATTCCTTTCATGGAAACTAGTGCGAAAAATGCCACCAATGTGGAACAGGCTTTCATGGCTATGGCTGCTTCAATCAAGAACAGGTTTGGAAATTTTCAGTTGAAGTTGCACTCATAACAGTTACTGTTTTGCTCTTTTCTTGTGTGGAAACTTATTATACTATGCATTTGTAGAATGGCAAGCCAACCAGCATCAAGCAATGCACGGCCTCCAACTGTGCAGATCCGCGGACAACCTGTCAACCAGAAGAGCGGTTGCTGCTCATCTTAAAAGCACAAGGACGAAGGTCTGTCGCCTCGATGATGATTCTGATGTGGCATGTAAAATTAGTCTCTCTTAATGGCTTGATAGGAAGACTGTTCACTGTTATCACAATTTACTTTCTTTCGGCACTTTGTCAAAACACTCAATTCTTTGCAATGTATTTGGATAAACTATTTGTAGAAAATCTAGGAATATTGGTGAATACTAGTATTTGCTTTCTATTCTTTGGACCTTCATCGAAATGATTTAATCTGCAATGTGCAAGTTTAACTATTCGAGTCTTACTACAAATCTATAATGCGATCCTTTTTGCCGTTGGTTTCTCGTTTTTTGTGTGATATAACTTGTATCATATAAATTTGCAAGGTGTTTAATAGGTGCCACGAAAATGAACCGCATATATATACGTCATGATAATGCTAAGTGGATAGATTAAGGGATGCTCAAAACGCAGAGTCATCTTCTTATCAAATAAAAGATTGGTTTACTCTAATCATACCAGTTTACCCATAGTGAAAGGATGATTTTTGAAATCATGGATATGAAAAGTGAATGGACTTGCAGAAGTTGACAGTCTATGGCGACAATTAAATCACAGATGAATAATTGCAAAGATTGGTCACAACTCAAAACAAAAAAAACTCCAAGTATGTTACAAAGATGCATAATCTATAAAATATATACTAGGAACTTCTCCTATCATCAGCACAACATCTGAAAATAGTTGCTAGAAACTGCGGCTAACAATATCCTTTAAGAAAAAAATGGTCAATAGACTAGCAATAACTTCATTGTCAACAACCCCCGGGTGTTATCTCACAAGTGGGGTCTGGGAAGGATAGTGTGTACGCAGTCTTACCCCTACCTTGCGAAGGTAGAGAAGTAGTTTCATCTCGCAATTGAAAAAACACATTTTTCCTTTTATCGAATAAAGAATGAAACTTTTGCTATTAAAATTGTTCTCTCTCTAGTTTACCAGTAATCGCCACAAGAACAAACTCCATTTTTGAAATGGTGAAACCTAGTTGTATCTCTGACAATGATTTCCCTATTTTCTATTGCTGATATAACTTTAGTGGCTTGGTGGCAGTCTCCACAAACTCTTAGGTTCTTGAATATCCTAATTGGCATTCCTGGTGGCAGTTTTATTAAACCAAAGGCAATTGCTAATTTCTCACTGTGCCATAGAAGTAGCTGCGCTTTCTGTTCCTCCGCTACATCATGTAATGAAGAGTCAAGATCAGGCACATAACCCGCCACCTTCATTTTCTTCTCAAGATCTTTTAGTTTCATGTGTATGCTTTCCAAATCTGGATGAAGTCTATCCCCTGATCTGAACTCATGGATCACTCTTCCAACCTCCATCCAACTATATCCCGGTGTTTTTATAACTTTGTTCTCTTTCATTGACTTTCTAACTATAGAAACACCTTCCCAATGGTTCTTGGCTGCATAAACATTAGCAAGTTGAACATATCCTGCTGCATTGGTAGGTTCAAGGCGAAGCAAGTTTTTGGCAGCAAATTCTGCCACTTCTAAGTTTCTGTGGATCCTACAAGCACCCAAAAGTGCTCCAAATAATGATATATGGGGTTTGAAATGCATTTTTGTTATCAAATCCACAGCCTCATTTAGCTTGCCAGCTCGTCCAAGGAGGTCAACCATACAAGTATAATGGTCTGGTTTTGGCTTAATTCTGTAATTATTCTGCATTTGCTCAAAATACTGAATACCATGATTGACAAAACCTGCATGGTTACAGGCTGATAGAACTCCAACAAAGGTTATCCAATCTGGTTTTATTCCTTTACTCCTCATCTCATCGAACAAGCGAAGGGCCTTCTTGCTTTCCCCGTGTTGAGCATACCCTGAAATCATTGCATTCCAAGTGACAACATCCTTTCTTGGCATCTCAAGAAACAATTTCCATGCATCCTCCAAAACTCCACACTTGCTATACATACTGATCAATGAAGTCCCCACCGTCATATCCAAGTACAGAGGGGACTTCATGACGTGCTGATGAACTTGCTTCCCCAATTTCAATGCAGATAAATTACTACAACCTAGTAAGAGACTACTCAAAGTCGAGTCATTCGCCTTTACAACCGATGCCATCATTTTCTTGAACAGCTTCATACCATCCTCTGCTCTCCCATTCTCAATGTAACCCGAAATCATGGTGTTCCAAGTTACCATACTCCTCTCCTGCATCTCTCGAAACATCTTCTCCGCCATTTCAACATTTCCTGATCTCATATACCCCGTCACAATCGCCGTCCTAGCAATCACACCTTTCACAGGAGCTTCTTTAAACAACTCCAAGGCTGATTCCAGTTCCCCAGACTCAACATACCCAGCTACCATAGCATTCCACGTAACCTCATTCCTCACTGGCATTGCCCGAAACAACTCTTCCGCTTCAGCCATCAGCCCATTTTGAGAGAACCCTGAAATCATGGTATTCCAGGAAGCAACATCTTTAACCGGCATTTGATCAAAAAAATTCCTAGAAGCCTGGATATCAGAATTTCTCATATAGCAAGCTAACATAGTATTATACGACACAACATTCGGTTCAGGAATTTTGTCAAACAGTTGGCGAGCTTCTTCAATATACCCAGGTTTTCTTGAAAACCCAGCCAAGATTGAATTCCATGTGATTACTGTCTTAACCTTCATGCTCTCGAAAACTCTAAGCGCGGAATCTAAATCCCCACATCGAATATAACTGGTAATTTTCTTGTTTGATAATACCACATCGTTAGTTTCAGGTAGCTCAGAATGTTTGGTTTTGTACGGGAAGTGGCCATTTCTTGAAAATTTTGATTGTGTTATTACGTTACTGGGGGATACCAGTTCGGATGGAAGTGAAGGAAATATTTGTAGGTCTGGATTGTCATCTGGGATTTGAGAAAAGGAGATGTAAGAGATACAATTATGGGGTTTGCATGATAGGAAAGAAAAGAAGGGAAAGGAGCAAATTTTACTTCTAAAGTGAAGTTGATAGTACATTTGTCATGCTTGGTTGTGTTTGAGCTCTTTATATATTTGGTCGCGTGGAAGGAGCTATGAGACAGCCGCAGGTGGATTTGGAAGTTGGATCTGTAGTTATTTGGCTACACCCACCCACCTTCTTGATAATTAGACTATACCCTTGAATAGCGGGGGGAAGCAAAATTTTCAAAAAAATAAATAAAATTTCAATCATCTAATATATATATATATATATATATATATATATATATATATATATATATATATATATATATATATATATATCTTGAAGATAAGTTTTGTACTCAATTAATTTCTCAGTCCCTCTAGTTGGGTGGGCGCCGGCAGATTTTCCGACCGGATCCCCCTAAAAATCGTACATGCGGGTTCCACATCCAGCAAGGAAGTCAAGCGCATAAGTTGGATTCCTGGCTGACTCTTTCTTTGAAGCATTCAGAGAGAATCAAGATTGGCTTAGTCGGATCTTGCCAGACAATTGCCTTTTTTCCATATATATATATTATATATATGTGTGTGTGTGGTGAACCCCTTTTGCCCCTAGCTCCGTCAATGCCCTTGAGTGCATGGATATATTACAAACACAAAAAAGAATGATGGAGTTTAGGATTAAAAAATCAAAATAGCTAAAAGAAGTTATATGCATACCTAGTTTTTGTTCTATCCAACAATCGACAACAACAAAATTCGAAATTAGTTCAGAGTTATACGAGTTCTTTATATCCATTCTGTTGTGTTCGTCGTATTAATTTCATTTCAATGCTGGTATATAATTTGATTATTAAGAGTTCTCTAGAGTAAAGAATTTTCTAAAACCCACACATATCACTAATACTAATAAGATTCTTTGCAAATACTGAGTGCACCAAAAACAAATAAGCCCCAACGCCCATTAGTTGGTATATTCTATGTTGGTCATTCTCTTATTTGCATCCATAATGCTTTATCTTAGATAATTGCAAATTTTAATATCAAGAGATTGTATGTCTTTTGAGATAAGTTTCCCAACTTAATTTTAGAGATTAGCTCGTTCTTCTGTTAGCAAAAACTTAATGTCAATTATAACTTCAAAGAAAACAGAAATACATTTTATTTAAGCAATTAAAAAACGAACAATTTATCTTCACAAAATACTAAACTTTCAGGAAAAACGGTACAGAAGAAAAATTACTTTCAGCACTTTAAATAGGATGATACTACGAATAGTGACATTCAATTTTACTGGTTTATGGATTAATGTACAGTGACGAACTGGATAAAAAATCCAGATGAATCACGATCTCACTCTAGGGGTTCGGATTAACTAACCTTAGTGAATTTTCAAGATTAAAACATAAGCAGAACATCCATTTTACTTGTCCAGGCTTCTCTATTTGAGTTATACGGCTTTTACCCAAGGAGAAAAACAATGTGTAAACAAGAAAAACACACAACCATGAGAACAATGACTGCAAAGGAGCAAAATTGTTTTTAATAAAATTCAAAAACAAAAATGATCCCACAACTAAATCAAAAATGGACCTAAAGCCTAATTATGAAGGGAAAGGGTATTCATGCATGTCAAAAGTCAAGAAAGACCAAGGGTGTAAAACCCCAGAAGAGACATCTAAATTTACACTCTTAAAAAGAACAATAAAGTTTTCAGATGATTCTAATACATGAAAGCCCCCGAAAAAAGAGTTGGAGAGATGATCTGCCATCATTGAGCATACAAGTAAGCAGAAATGGAGAACGAGCTCAGATGGCTGGCTCTGCAGAACCTTACTTGGCACCCAAAGATGGGAACTGGCCAACATCCTCAATCTTAGGGGCTTCAACACTGTAGTTGTTACCACCATTACCACCGTTACCCCCATAGCCACCTCTTCCACGGCCACCACGGCCACCACGTCCCCTACCTCGATAGTAATTTTCCCCTTCAGCGGGTTTCAGAAACTCATTTATGCTTTTAGTCTGCAAATCAATGAAGTCGAATCAGTACAGCAACAAGAAAGTCTATACTACTATTTTCTTTCTGCAACTTGCTCACTACTGAAATGCTTGTAGATTAATGGCTGCATGAGTCAATTTAGTAAGCCTCAAATATGAAATTTTTCCATGTAATTCATGAAGTGCTTGTAACCTTTCTTAAAATATTGGACCCTGATCTTAAAATGGCCTTTGGAGGGGAAGGAGAAGGAGGTTACAAGCATAGAGATTTGGCAAGCCCCAAGCATACATACCTCAGCCTATTTATGTATATAGAATCCCTCAGACAAAAATATTCCCTACAAATGCCTTGGGAGAAAGATTAGTATGACACAGCGAAGGTGGATACAACAATGTTCCAATCCCGGACGCAAGTTGTTATGTTAGAACTTGAAAATAAAAAGTAAGAGTACATACATAGTAGGAATTAGGATCATACAGAAATGGTACAGACTCTTGGCAACCAAACAAGATACAAGAAATAATGTGGCCAGATACTGTGGTCCCATATCAATCCATTAGAATTCGCAGCAAATTAAAAAAAAAGTAGATTACCTTCTTGGCCTTTTCAACTGCCTCTTTCCGCTTATCTTTCTCAGCTCCCTGACACAACAACAATTTTGCAAGCTTGATTAATATACTAACAGACAGCATTATTAAGATCCTGATAACCGACATCAAAGCAACAATAAAATAGCAACAACTATTTGCTTACTAATTTGATGAAAACATCATCTTCATTCTTCTTGTTAGATAGAAGTTGCATGGATTCAAATTCCTTATCCAAATTAACCTTTCTTTCTTCAGGCTTCTGAGCCAGCAAAGCCTTCCTCTTCTCCTCTAGTAGTTTCTCATACTCCTCAAGGGTCATCTCCTGCAAAGTAAGTCTATATCAACGTTGAACAGTACACCAACTCAATTTTAGCTATTATACTGATCTGCAGGTACTGTCAATTACAGTACCATGCCATTCTTCATAAAAAAACTTGAAATAACAAATAAAAGCAAACAATCAATCAGGCCTCCACCAGTTAAAATCTTAGTTAAAGCGAGGGACCCAGTTGAAACAAAGAATAATCTCAGTAAATTTTCTATTCTCTAAAGTTGGTTCACTGCTACGTCATTGGGACTTATTCTTGGCAGGTGGGAGCTGTAGCAAATAATCACTGATGCCAAAAGGAATTTATCACAAGGACAAACCATCTTTAAAGTTCTCCAGCTCTCTTTCAAGTAGTAACAAGAGACCGAGGAGAAACTTCAAGAACAGTTGATGCTATGTGACAATTACCTCAAAATTTCAGTTAGTGGTTGCTTTGCTATAGTCCTGATCTTAAAAGTATGAAAGGGTACTAAAAAGGTATGAAATTTCATTAGAACAGACCACTAAAGGGTGCTGATTAAAAAACTACTTACAGAAGTAAAAGCTCCCTATCTAAATATGAAAGTCAAACGTAGGATCCTCTTTACACTATTTACTCACAGCAAAAAGACAAGATATAAACAGTTAAATTTGACATTTGAAAAAGTAAATTGCTTTAATCAATGCACAAGACGAAAGAACTCCACAGCTGCAGATACTTTTCTGAATTCTCATTCCATAATAAAATCCCAAGGGGCTTCCCGGTGTATTGACAGGATAAAGACAGTCAGGAAATGCATCAGAAGACCTCACATTAGACAATATTAATTACAGACTGTCTGAAAGGCTCCAAAAAGTGGGTAGACTAAAATGGAAATTGTGCAAACATTCCTTTCCCAAACTGATATAAGTGACACCACAGTCAAGAGACTGAATGCTGAAACCTACACCAACCTTCTACCCCCAATAAGAAGATTGGGTAAAAAAGGGCAGTTCGGTAGACTAAGCTCTCGCTATGCCCAGGGGTCCGGGGAGGGGCCGGACCACAAAGGTCTATTGTACGCAACCTTACCCTGCATTTCTACATGAGGCTGTTTCTATGCTTGAACCCGTGACCTCCTGGTCACATGGTAGCAACTTTACCGGTTACGCCAAGGCTCCCCTTCAATAAGAAGGTTGGGTAGTATGGTATAATATAAATTTGCATGACAAGACATTGGGTAATATAAAAAAGCCAAAAAAAACATGAAACTCATGTAGAAACAAAAAAATAACAGTTACTTTCTCCTCAGGCTCCTTCTCTTCTGGCGCGGCAGCAGAAGAATCCTTTTTGGCATCTCCAGCATCTTCCTCCCCAGCTGGTTTCTCAGGATCAACAATCTTCTCTCCTTCAGTAACAGGCTCCTCTGTCTCCCTGACAATTGAAGAGCAAACCATTAAATAAGAAACAATTATTGTCATTTGAGGAGGGGAAGGGAAAGCATGATTAGGAGACCAAATGAGATGAAAATGCTCACGGTGCAATCTCATCTGTGGGAGTTCCCCAGTTCGCACGACCTGCACCCTCCCGTTTAAAGTCATTCCTATACAGAATGATAAAGATAAATATCATGCATTTGAGAAACCAATAGTTGTCAATATAAAAATATTAAGATCATTTGAACCATCCCAAACCAAAAAATGGAAAGTGGATTTGGTCATTCAAAAGAATTTCCAGCAAAACAACTTACCCACGTCCAGTTCCACTTCGTCGATCATACACTCTGCGTGGGCGATCACCTTCTGCACCTTCCTCATTGTTGAAACCGCCCCGGCGTCCCCCACGGAATCCCCCACGAGGTCCACCATATCCACCACCCCTCCTTTCAAAGGACCTTCCTGACTCTCCATCCTCTGGTGCTTTGTACACTCCAGAGAAACCATTATTGCTACCAAAGGTATTCTCACCATCAGCAAAATCCTGGTTAAACCCACGTCCCCGTCCGCCGCGACCACGACCTCCTCCACGCGGACCTCCACGGCCTCCTCCTCGTTGGCCTTCATACCTGGACTCCCTCACTGCTCAAAGAACATTGCACATATGAGCAATGGGAGCATTATACTCCCTCCTTTCTGTTTTATATAATAGATTGCACTTGAAACAGAATTTAAGATGCTAATATAACTTAATATTATGCTAATGGTAAACAAAAAATATTAACATAATGGTTGAAAAGTTAGTAGACTGAGAAAAGCATCAGATCAAAGTTCAAATTCTTAATAATTTCAAACATTTCTGAAAATCCTACAAGGAAATAATGTCATACAAATTGGAAAATTGAAATGCTTAAATAGTTTGAAAAGAACTATGACTAATACAATCCAGCTATCCAACTTAGAATTGCAACCATGTAAGAGAGACACAAACACATACTATGTAGGACAGTCGGGGCAGTCTTACCCTAAACTAAGGGCAAAGAAACAACAAATACTTGAAAGAACCACATAAATTTTTCCTGACAGCCACTCAACAACAATAACAGAGAGACAAAAGAAATTGCTCAAAAAACCAAAACAGAGCGGTATCTCACTAACTGCTTTATCCAATCAAATAAAGACTGCAGCTTTACAACATAAGATTACAATATCTGTATTAATTCACTGACCCCGTGTAATGTGAACCAATAAATAGCATGAAACTACTCAAATCCATTAAAATATATACACAAAAATCAAAAGGGTGTAATAAAAATTACCAGCCTCAGAAGGAGGGAGGGGCTTAGAGGGAAACTTGGCAACTGGCTTAGCCGGTTGAGCTTGGGCCTTAGCTGGAGCTTTCTTAGGAGCAGCAGCAACCGGAGCAGCCTCTTTCTGAGCAATAAACAAACTTGGGTCCTCTGCATCATCACCCAAAAGATCAAATGGGTTTAAAGTTGCCATTTTTTCACTCTTTTGCTGAATGTATATATAGAGATACAAATATATGTATTAGAAAATTGAAAATCCCTAAAATTTAGAACCCATGGAAATGGATTATGAGAAAGGTATTGTGAAGTGAAGAATGTAGAGAGATGAAAAGTTGGGAACTTGTGAAAAAGCTAGAAAATGCGGCAGATAATTGAGGGGAAGTGAAGTGAAGCTAATCTTAAAAACCCTAGCGAATGGAGATTCTGTGAGGGAAGGTTCAATGTATGTATATAATGGGAGTGGGCTTTTGTTGTTTTGTGTAGTTTGTTGGGCTTTCTTTCCTTTTTGGGTTTAATTTGGAAAATCTTTCATAAATGGTTAGAATTGTTTGGGCTTATTAAATTGTTACTTTGCTTATGACTTACGCTTTGAAATTTTCCATTTTCTAGTAATTTGTTACTCCTTTAAGAGGAAAAAAAGATCAAACATATTTAACCATTAATTTACTATTGTGATTACCTCTTAATGATTTTTCTTGAGATTTTTTTTTAACCACCCCCCACAGGATAAAATTTAGTGACCAAACGATAAATATATTGAAAGTTTTTCAACTCAAAAGATAGTTTTACTTTTAAAAATCTTAACACGTACGATAAATTTTTTGATAAGGAGAATATTATAAACGTAAAAAAGATAGTATTTTCGTGTCTTCATGTTTATATTTTAATAATAGAACAAGCCAATGTATGACCACACATATTTTCTCTACTAATTTCAACATATGAAAGGTTAATATATGAGAGCGTTAAGCTTTCATATGTTGAAATTAGTAGAGAAAATATGTGTGGGCATACATTGGCTTGTTCTATTATTGAAATATTGTTATGAAACAATAAAAGAAGAAGAAGAATATTGCAGAAAAAAATAGAGAGTTTTTATTGATTTGGGATTAATTACAATGGAATAAGACTCATCTATTTATAGGGAAAGAGTAACTTAGTCACCAAATAAAATCTCTAAGATCTCTCTAAAATATAGACATTCACCTTAAATAGAATTCTATTTATAACAAATATAAACATGAATAGACGAAAAATACTATCTTTTTTTACGTTTATAATATTCTCCTTGTCAAGAAATTTATCGTACGTGTTAAGATTTTTAAAAGTAAAACTATCTTTTGAGTTGAAAACTATATATACAAAAGGCATGGTATAGAGCCTACTTTGATACTCAGTGTAAGAATCTAATGGTGGATAATAATTTTACTGAATCCTTTAATGCATGGACTCTGAATGCTAGACAGATGCCAATTATCAAGATGTTAGAGAAAATAAGGATCAAGGTAATGGAAAGAGCGGCTGAATATGAAGACAAAACTAGAAGTTAGAATGCTAATTTTAGTCCACAAAGTATGAAGCTTTACAATGACTATAGGTTAATAGCACATGATTGCAAATTGAACTTCAATGGTGACTATGGTAATGATATCACATAAGGTGGAGACAAACATACTGTGAATATAGAACAAAATAGATGTACATGTAGACTGTGGGACTTGTCTATGATACCCTGCCCTCATGTTATTAAGGCAATGTTGCACCTAAAGATTGAGCCAGTCAGAAAAATACACTGGTGGTATAGTAAGGAAGCTTATTTACTGACATATAAGCACAAAATTCAGCCTGTTAGGGGTAAATTTTTGAAAAGTTGACCCTAGCCAGGCCATGGAGCCATCCGAAATGGTCAAAATGGTGGGAAAACCCAAAGTAAGTGTCGACACCCCCTTTTCCTATGGGTCAAAATCGGGTATACGACATTGGGAGGACAACTCTATTCCCTTTCGAGAATTGGGGTTTGGAATTTGAAGAGTCGCCACCTAATAATTATAGTGCATTAGGACACCTTTTATAAGAGTTTGAGTTGGAAAACCAGAGTTCGGGTAAGGGCTAGAAATTATCTCGAGGGGAAGGTGTTAGGCATCCCTCAAGATCCACTAGTGTGGTCCCGGCCATGCTACAATTGTGACTTTAAGAAGACAAGTAGAAAAATAAAGCAAAGGGCTTCACATAGTTTTGCAAACAAGTTTAAGAGTTGAAGAAGTAGAGAGTTTAGAAAATTAGTTTTAAAAGAAAACTTAAAAATTAACAAGTAAAGGGAATGGGGTCCTAGGTTTACAAATAATATGGATCACATCAATACAATATCCAGCAATCACTCCTTAGAAGAGGGGTCGCACCTGATATTAGTGCACCGGTCATCATATCCATATTCTACTCATTCCACCCCGTTAAGGTATTAAAGCGCGGAATGGTATCGTTACTTATTGCATGCTATTACCCGTCTCATCCTATAAATCCTAGAGGGTATTTAGGACCACTATTCCTACAAGGTAGGGACTAGGCTGAACCCTTAGGTTTAAAGGACAAAATGCTAAGCGACATACATAGCAAGTAGGACTACACATAAAGGGAACACAAAGGCAAATAAAAAGCTCACAGATCCCTCCACAAGTAAACATGTAATCAGCATGTCTCAAACATATTTAAGGTCTCAAAGATAGGAGTTTTCAGAAAACAGGAATAGATAACAACAGTTGAGTTTAGCGACAGATAAAAAAAATCGTTAAAGCATGATTTTTGAAAATCAAATAGTGACAGTAGCTTGACGAGGTGTTGGACAAGTATTCAAAATAGCACGATTCTGGGTAGAGAATGATAACCCAGTAGTTTGAAAACATAATAGAACAAGAACTAGAAAATCAGTGAGAGTAAATAGATGCACAATTTCAATATTTTGTTTCCAGATAAAGCGGGAGTTTTTTTAAAAAAAAAACAGAGTGAACTTCAGCAAGAATGGGAGCAGCAGAGTTCAAAATTATAAGAGGCTGATTGATCTTAAACCATTAAAACATGATTAATCGATTCTTATTATGCCTAAAGTTTGTCTAGGCGTAGTTGTGTTGCCTAATTACCTTAAAGGGGTGAACATGCATATTAATTTCAGTTTTAAAAGGACGCAGTTAACCAAACTTGTATTATTAGATTAAACATACTGGTGAGGCGTTCAACAATTGCAACTCAAATAAAATAAAAACCCTAAGTAACAGGATGTCTAATGCACACAGAAGCTCCTAAAACATGGTCTCTAAATGCTAATGAGAATGCAGCAGTAATTTTATAATAGTTACTTGTTGGTTATTAACTAATCCTGATTACAAAATGAGTATAATAACAGACTGAAAGTAAAGAGCCTAAAACAGGATTACTAATATGTGAGATGCATGTTCTATACATGATATCTATTGCGCAAGTAGGTAAATGAAGTCCTATAAGCATGTTTTCTACCCATTACTTGAACTAAGCATGCATGACCCCTCCCATATTCACTATTCGACCCCAATCATTCGTTTACAAATTATTACAAATCGAGGATAGCCGAATTACAGTAATAAAGAATAAAAAATAAGAAGTTATTCTATAAGGAGCCTTCAGCCAGGACCAATCTTCCAACCTCACTCCTTTCGAGTTTCACAACCTTTGCCATGGTCTGGGTGCGGCAAAGCTCCCTAAGGCCCCATTGGGTCCCTGGCCAATACCAGCACCCAAACATTTACCAAAAAATATTGAACAAGTGCAGTGTGGAATTACCAGCCTTGTGCATCAAAGTTCAGTGAGTGCTCAGAGGTACTCAAAGCAATGCTTACACGAAGGGGGTAGAACCTAATCTCTAAGAGTAGTGAGAGTGCGTGATATAGTTGTAAGGAAATTGAGTTGAGAAAAAAAAACAGTTTAAAAATGATCCATAAAGAATCAGTTCTTGAAAGAAAAACAATAGAAGAATGTGACAGTTTTGTAAGAAGGTGAGTAGGACAATCTCAGAACTAGAATATAACACATAGTTCAGGGAAGCAAACACAAATAGGAGAAGGGGAAATGGGGACAAGTAGTTCACATATAAGAGAATAGTTGCACATACATAGACATCAGAGAAACCATTTCGAAACTTAAACAGTCACAACACATTTCATCCCAAAGTGCTCATGGAAGAGGTTCAGGATCATTTAGTAGCTAGGAAGGGTCGTGACTACATGCTAATAATGTACTGGGGTTAGGGGTAAGGAAGAACTGTATTAAACAAGTAAGGGAAGCAGTAGACATGCTGAATTAAGGGATGGGTAATCACATTAATGAACTAGCAAAGAGGCACGCTAATTGCAATGAAAACAGCAAAACCATAAGTAGAAGCATAAAAGAAATAAGAGAAAGTGCAATATGCATAAAAACATATTGTTTTGGAAGTTATAAATCAAATAGCAGACATACCAGTCAAGAGTAGGATAATAGAACAGTAGTGTGCAGGGAAGTAGAGCAGTAGTGTGCAGACCAAGAGAGAAGCAATGTATAGAGCAATAAAACAGTAGAGTAACAAGTTACTCATTCTTGGCTTTTAGCCGACTAGGTAACCAATAGTCAATAAGAGAAGTGAGCGAGAATGTGTAGGAAAGCAAGAGAGAACAGTGAGTATGCTTGTGTGTGTAAGAGAGAGTTCAGAACAATGTGTTTGTTCGTCTGTTATGCTAAATAGAGGGTAGAGTATTTATAGTTTTGAAAACAAGTACACAATTATAGAAGCAATACCAATTGGAATCAATCACAGGATCAAACTCCTTTTAATTAGGGAGTTATGATTCGAATGGGTACAAGTTATATCAGATAAGGAAAGAATCACTTAGACTACTGAATCTACCATAATAGGAGTAGTAAAGCATGCAACATGTAATAAGGGCCAAATACATAATATTTCAAGTAAGGAAAATATATACTAAATATTTGAAAGTATGTTTTTGCGCATAAGTATGGTAAAAATATAAATTAACTCTGTAAATTAGTCAAAGAATCACGGATGAGACTAAAATCACAAGGAATTAGTTCTGAGTAAGGAAATCATCTCACAAATAAGGAAGTGATTCAAAATCAGTGAAAAACTTCTAAGGAAAACATATACAAAATCAGGGATTCGAAGAGATGCATAGAATCAGCAAAATATTTGGTAAACAGTGAATAATTAGACCTATTAAACACAATAGGCACGAAAATCAGAGAACCCTAAGCAAGATATCACAGAAACAGTAGAAGGTTGGAACCCTAACAACAAAATTAAAGCATAGAACTCGGAGAATAACCCAGAAGATCACACAACAAGCAAATAATATAAACACAAACATATAGTACTCAAAATCAGAAGATAAAGTGATTTCGAAG